TAATTTATGAACTAAATTCAAGATTACTAAGGAAGTTTGATTGTGAAATTGGCTTGTAACTATGTGAATTCTTGATTGTGGATGGGTGTTGATAAATTGTGTGATAAGAGGTTTGAATGTTACAAAGTCTTTTTGAGTGGATTGAGAAACTAGCTATGTTCATAAAAAAACCTTAGTGCAAATTTTGATTTCAAAGTTTTAAATCTGTAATCATTATATACATACATATATAGATGTGTTAATGGTGGAAGAGAGTTTTAAGATTGTTAGAAGTTTATTAAGACTCTAATATATTATATAAAAAGTTTGGAAGGAGAGAAAATCAATTGGTGTGGTAAGATAAGAATCTTGTGCTTTGAGAAAACCCGAGGTAAATGAATAGCACTCCATTATTTTACCAATAAAAATAGTCTGTTATTGAAAATATTACCTTTTTATATAAATTTTTTTAATGATGATGAATATTGAGTACTTTGTTAATTAAATTATTTTACTTTTGGAAATTATAGAATAATGATGAAGGATAAATAAATTATGACATGTGCATGTATTTTTCCTAAAAAAATATACTTCCAAGATTGATGAAAACATCTTTGTTTATTGAACCTTGGAATTCTTAGTTATTTGATTAATGCAAGCTTGTATGTTAGCTATGAAATATTATTTTGATAAGTTTTAATATTTGAAACAATTCATGCGAGTTTGACATTGAAAATGAAAATTTTATTTCAATAATGATTATTTTTCTCCTATGTTTGAAATGTAATTTCTAAAAGGACTATAAACAAAACATTGCTGCTAACGATAATTCTGTTAGCCCTTGGCGAGCCGTGGTCAATGACTAGCTAATTTAATTTTCTTGAGCTCTGTTCTCATGTTTATTATTCATGAGTCTTGTACTCATGTTTGTTTCATGGTTGAAGCCGCGTTTGGTTAACATTACCCTCGTGAACTGTGCATCCATGTTTGTTTCATAGCTCAGACTGTGTTTGGTTACTTACTCTCATAAACTATGTGTCCACCTTTGTTACTTGTTTTGTTAAGTCCTTAAAATTTTAAATTTTTAATTAACTTGTGTAAATAAAATTTCAATGGTTTCAATTAGTAAGCATACTACTTTGATTTTTATATGAATAATTTGTTTTCTTCAAACATAATAGAATAAAGCAATTTTAGTTCACTCTCATTTTATGGTTATGATTAAGATCTACAAGTTTATTATATTGAATTATCATTTTTTTCAATTATTTTTCATGATTATTTAAGTTGATAATTTTTTTATTCTTTAAAACTCTATATTTTTAGGGATACTATTTACTAAAAAATGTTTTGGTCTTAAACTCATTAGCTGACATTGAATCTCCTGCGGATCATGGAAGAGTTTATTAACGACTGGAAAGCAGAGCTGTAGATTAAACTATCTTTTGATGTAAAAATTTAGATCATGAAATTGTATTTTGTGAACTAAATTTTAGGTGCTTCACATATATTATAGATATATCCTTATTTTGATATATACTTCATCTGCTGGGTGAAAGGAGCTAAGTTCCTAGTTATTATAATATTTGATAAGTGCATATTTTATAATTAAATAGATATAAATTTTAGTTTGAATTTGATTATATTTATTAAGATTTTATATCTATTTAATTGATATTTATATATTTTTCCCTCATCACTTAATTATAAGATAAAAAGAAATTTTAATACAAAATTCACTCATATCTTTTTCTCTTTATATTTTGCAGAGAAAACGAATAAACCAAATAGAAGGAAAGAAGAAAAAGAGAAATATATATATATATATATATTAGAGTCCTACATCGACAAAAAACAAAAGAAGAAGCCTCCACCTGAATTATAAATACTCCTCTATCAAGAGGGGAGGCATGCAATCACTTATCTGAGTATCTCAAGAATTCTCTCTGAGATATTTGGAGCTAGTAGAGGCATTCTGAAGGCTGAAAGCGAAATCATTGAGAAGTTTCACAAATTATAATTATTTTTTTCTACTCCTTAATTTTTTCTGTGATCATTTTTCATGATTGAGAATTTTAGAATGGTTTTATTTGATTTTATTATGTATTTCTAAATTACCCAATTAGGGTAGGGATGTAGCCCAATAGAGGAGCTAGTTTTCTATTTCCTTTGTTTTAACTCTTTGCATTTATATTTATGAATATTTTTACTTTTTTTAATTATATTTATTTCTCTTATTCTTCATATTAATTTAATGACTGGCCACCATTTAATCAAATCTATGGGTAGTCTTGATAGATTGGGAGGTGAAGAGAAAACTTAGATATAGAGAACTAAATATAAATAACTAGGATATGAATAGTTCTAGAAATTTGTGGTGACTTAAACTATAACTTCATAATTTAATTAGTTACTTGGGTATAATGGGAACGAATTCAATGTTAATTAAAAAGAGATTAATAATTTAGGAGAATATTAGGACACTTTAGGAATAGTTGTCACTATAATTGATCAGAGTCAATTCAAAGGGTAGAAATTAGCAACCTATAGGGTGAATCCTAAACCCCAACGTTTCAAGTGATTGCGTTTTTATCATTATTATTTTCTTGATTTATTTTTATTCTTTATATTTTTATCAAAATTATCCATTTTATCTATTTTTCTTGAACTATTAATTATTTAAATTAGTAAAAGTGTACCTTTTTTGTGGGTTTGACACCTAAAATACTCCAAGTAATTTATTACTGTGATCTCATACACTTGCGAGAGTGATCAATATTCATTTGAAAATTTGTATTGTAAAATTTTGGAAAATCCTATATATAAGAAAGATCCTGCTGGAATTTTCATAAAAATATTAAGAGTTTATTTTTAATCAAAAGTAGTAAATAATAACAATAATAATAACATATGCAAAAAATTTCTTGAATCAGGCTTGAGTGATGTGTGATTATGTGTATACCCTTGCCAGGCACTTCTATATTTTGGGATGTGACATAAATCTTTCTTTGTTTGTCTTTCAATCTCTAATTCACCCCTCCCAATAAACCTAGAGGGACTAAGGGAGGCTTGGCGAAGAATCCAATTGTGGATGAGTTTGATCTCAAAGAAAGGTAAAGGATAAACATGAAAGTGAGCATGATGAAAGTGAGTTTCATATGGGGTCTGATGAAAGGGAGTTTCATCATCTTTGTGAAAATGAGTTTATTGAAGAATTGGATTCACACATATCAAGCATATAATTTTTAAACTTCCACTTCATCAATAGTGTGGTTCAATTCTTTGAAAATTATTTGAATTTTTTTACTTGGTAATTCATTTTTCTGAAAAGCATTTTTAAACTTTTTGTTGACGTATTATATTGTGAAAAACTATATAGTTTTCTCTATTGTCATCCAAAACATTCTTTACAATGATTGTTTTGCATGACTATTTCATATCTGGTCATATGTATAGAGCTACTTCCTCTCACTATACTCAAAAGTTCATTTAATCAATTTATTCTTAAATATAAATTTAATACTTTTAAATTTTTGACTGCCTGTTATTTTTAAGATTCGAAAAAGATACACAAATAATTTTAAATTTAGTTTAGATATTTAAGATACATCATAACATCTATTATTCATAAATTCCTAAATTATTTATCAAATAATCTAAACCTAATTTTCTTTTAGAAATCAAACTATATCACTATCACACACGATCAACGCAATCAACTAGCAATATATATACTTTAATATACTAAATTTAAAAATCATATTATCTCATAGCATTAAATATTAATTGAATCCAATTCAATCTATTCAATATAAGGAAACTAAAATACAAATTAATAAAAAAAGTTACATCGCGAATATTGAATTAATTTCTAAACAATTTATTAAAAATATTTAAAATAAAATATTAAATACTTGCCTTGCCTCAAGAGATACGTCTTTAAAATTGAGTTAAATTATTTATACATATTAAAATTAATTATAGTGTTTCTGGGCAATCTTTTTTTATAATTTAATCTATTTTTACTTTTTAAGCGTAAATATTTTCATTTTTTTAAGTGTTTAATCTAGAGTAATTTATTTAAAACATTGGAATTATATATCTACATGTAATTATACAATATGTTCTTGTTTTAAAATGGCGTATTATTCTTTAATAATTCACCAGAATATTATATTACACAGAGAAACAAAATCAAAAGATAAATTCAAAAACTAGTATATATTTATCATTTATCAGTTATTTAAAGTCAAATACAACACTAAGACTCCAAGTTAAACACAAACAAACAGTTGGCCAAAAGCGAACACGGTTCAACACAACTTGTTATAGCTGGTAAGAACGAGGGAAAAAACATACAAGTTGTTTGATTGACCCTTTTTTTTAATCAACTTGGATATAACTTTTTAAACACTTTGTTGATCAAACAAACACTCAGAAAGCAAAATCTTTTTTTTTTGTTTTTTGTTTTTAAGAAAGCAAAATCTTAATCACATACTTCACAAGACAAGCTCACGCATATAAAAAGCAGTTATATTTATATCTTTTATGGGATTATTTAAAATTTTATTCCACTTTTATTTTTTAGTCAAAATATTTTTCGTATGAATTTGTGCGGATTCAATAAGTATAAAATCTTTATTCTTAAAAAAATTGTTCATTCTTTAGGATTGCTCATTAGAAACTTGTTCGATTTCTACACAAACACAAAATTCAATGGATAACCGATATAGATATATTTATCAAATAATTGAAGTCAAACACAACACTAAGCCGCCTGAATCCTGATTTAGCCCGATTAAAATTTAAAATAAAACAGTTGGCCAAAATAAAGAACACGATTAAACACAACTGGTTATAGTTGGTAAAAGATATGAAGGAGAAGAACAAGAAGCACAAGATGATAGTGGGCGAAAAAATAATTTGATAATTATAAATTATAAGTGAAACAGATTATATCAAGGTCATTATTCAAGATGTCTGGTTCAATCCCTCGCTGTCGATTTGAAGCTGAAATGCCGTAATATTCCGTATAAGTATATAATATCATTATCACTCACCCTCCAGCATCAATTCCACACACACCCTGTCCCACTCTTCTTCTTCCTCTGTCCCTCATATTCCTTATCACTTAAGCCTTAATTTCCTCAAATTCAACGCTCCCATAGACTTATAATTCACAGCTTCACACAAACGCGCTCTCTCTCTGGTTCCTTCTGCAACATCATCTCGTCTTCGTCATTATGTTTCAAGCTATTCGAGAAATTAACAGGAATATTGCCGATGAAGAAAGAGCATCAGAATCTACTCCTCCGACCAGAGACGAGGAGCCGGAGGGGGTTTTGTTCGGAAAATACGAGATTCGCAAGTTTCTCGGCGTTGGGGGTTTCGCTAAGGTTTACGAAGCTTTCGACGTTGTTACGAAGCAGAGTGTTGCCATTAAGGTCGTGAGCAAGCGCAGGATAGTTGAAGCCCAGCTCACGGCGCAGCTTCAGAGGGAAATTACTATCATGCGCCGGCTGAATCATCCCCATATCGTCAAGCTCTACGAGGTCCTCGCCACCAAGACCAAGATTTACTTCGTCATGGAGTGTGCCCAAGGCGGCGAGCTCTTCGACAGACTTCTTAATCACGGCCTCTTCGACGAAGATCACAACCGTCGGTGTTTCCATCAGTTAATCTCGGCCGTCCGGCATTGTCATTCTCTCGGTGTGTTTCACCGGGATTTGAAGCTCGATAACCTCTTGCTCGACGACGATTTGAACATCAAGGTTTCGGACTTCGGGTTGAGCGCCACAATGGACCAGATCCGACCCGACGGCATGCTGCATACTCTCTGCGGGACCCCTGCTTACTTGACCCCCGAGATGCTCGCCAAGAAAGGCTACGACGGAGAGAAAGTCGACGTGTGGCAGTGCGGTGTCGTTTTGTACGTGCTCACCACCGGGTCTTTGCCGTTCAACGATGCTGACGTGCCGACGATGCTGAGAAGAATCTACCGAGGACGGGTTGGCATCCCCCGATGGGTCCAGCCCGATTTGAAACGGTTGATCAAGCGGTTACTTGACCCGAATCCAAAAACGAGGATTACCGTCGATGAGATTCTGCAGGACCCGTGGTTCAGAAAAGGGTACAGGGAGATCAAAGTCGAGCAGAAGAATTCAGGATGGGAGGAAGACGACAGAAATAGAACCAAGTCCTTGAACGCCTTCCATTTGATATCGTTCTCGTCGGGTTTGGACATGTCGGGTTTGTTCGTTACCGACCCGGAACCTGAAGTTTCGGGCAGCGTGGAACGCATCGTTTCAAAGGAGACGCCGAATAGGATCGTGGAGACGGTGGAGGAGGCGGCCGATCGGGACACAGTGGTGGTGACGAGGAAGGAGGACGGATGGGGAGCGAAGCTTGAGGGGCATAGAGGTAATTTCGTGATATTGATTGGTGTCTACCGGCTAACGGATGAGCTGGTGGTGATTGAGATCAAGAAAAAGGAAAAAGAAGGCGAAAGCGGCGCCCAATTTTGGGACGATAAATTGAGACCTCGAATTTTAGAATTAGAGCATAAACCGGAATAGCCGGTCAAGAAATTATAAGAATTCAGAAATAAGTGGCTTTGCTAATTTTGTTGAATCAGCAAAGCCTGGTAGGTAATAGCGTGGAGGCATGATTATTAAATTAGTTAAGTCATTGGTTTAGGCACAATAAATAATAATAAGTGCCAACTATATACAGTATCATTTATCAGAATGGTTTAGGTGCTTATCAGTTATCACAGCAAGAGCACCATGGTGCGATGATAAAACTCGGACTGTATAAATGTGTTTTGCCGTTTTGGATTAAATTTAGAGTTCTAAAATGATAAATTTATTTTTTTAACCGAATAACAATTTAAAATTTATTTTTTATTTAAAATACTAGATTTTCCAAAATAAAAAATTGTAATAAATAAATAAATATAATAACTTACCCCATGGAAAAATAATAATTATTTTCCCATGCACAGCTCATATATGCACCGATTCTCAGTTTGTTTTTTTGGAAGTTGCATTCATAAAATTAATCATTCTTATATACTCCCTCTGTTAAAAAATATAAGAAATTTTTAACCACATCTCACTCGTAATAAAGTAATTATCTACTTTTTAACTAACTTATCTTTTCATATTCATTCCTATTAAACACCCTATAATAAATATAAAATTATTATCAATAAGAGTACTTTTAAAAAAGGTAATAATTACATCTCAACAGACTGAAAATATTCTATATTTTTTAACATTCAATTCCTTAAAAAATGTTTTGTATTTTTTATTGGAGGGAATATATATATATATATATATATATATTTTTTTTTTTTTATGGATGGGTCCACTCCAATGCTAAGCCCATCACATGCTTCGGCGGCTCGGCTTGCGGATTTTTATATGGTTCACATTCTTTCCTGTGAGTTGTGGTTGACAAAAAAAGAAAAAATGTTCCTTGCGAGTTGTACACTGCTTTGACACCATAATAAATTAAAAGGGCTAAAATGGTTGACAGCCGCCAATTGAACATAGTTAAAGTCATATATAAAGCTATTATCTTTAAGAATTATTTCATCATATTAGCTAAAATGTGGCACTTTATCAAAATTAAATAGACTATTCTAGCACAGAAGGACACAAAACAATAAAGTGTAACATAATAGAAATCAAGCAGTATCAGATGTGAAACAATATGAGAGGGGAGAAGCATAGCCTGAAAACTCAAAGGCTGGTACAAAAATGAACTCGCGATCGACTCTGCCTTTAATAAACAAGGAGATCAGGCAAGAACGATGGCACAATTAATTTCAATAAATTTAAACCATCGATTTCCAGAGAAATAAAACACCATTAAAATGTTGTCTCTGAACAATGGATATTCAAAACAATTTAAGTTCCTTGGTTCATGAATAATAAAGCCGTCGTGTTTGAAGCTTGAGGAATTCACATTATTTGAAACATGTAAATTTAATAATTTTCTGGTGAGTTATATATGTTAAAAGTGCCCAGCGAGCCTTTTTTTTTTTCTCTAAATCTATCTAGCAGCCAATTTTTACCCCTCAGTACTTATACTTTTAGAGCTTCCTTCAAGTAGGCAATGTATAGGAATTACTCTACTGACACATCCACACATAACTACAACAAATATCATTCTAAGCTAGCACTCATTTCATTATCATAATAAGACAGAAATTTTTTGGCCCAAAAAAAAAGACAAATTTAATATTTTGGTAAAAACAATATTTATGACCTGATAGCAAAGGCGTGCATGAGAGAAGTGGTATGAAAAGAGGGAAAGTATAATATAAGTGGTGAATAATGGAATATGCGATGTCATATACCGTATCATAGTGTTGGCAAGTTGAATGAAAACAAGAAACAGCTAACATGAGATTTGAGAATATGGTTATGGAAGCATCCTAGCAACTTGATTCACGCGGTGATCTGGTGGCATGCACGAGTATGATGCGTGTCCAGATAGTCTCACAATTCTCACTACCTATTACGTGATGGGTCCTATCTCCTATGTAAGATATCAGAAATTGCAGGAGCAGCTTAATTTACTTTATTTGAGATTTCTGGTAAGGGAATAAAAATATATTCAATAATTATCGTTTTTTAACAAAAGGATCAACATACACACACATGGATAAAGACATATATGCTTAATATTATATATTTAATATATTTTTATTTAATTAATTTAGGACATGTGAATCTTAATTTATTAAAAATACCAATAACAAAAATTTATTATAAAATAAATAATTTATAAAAAATACACATTTTTTAATTTAATTAAAAATAAATACCTTAAATATATAGTGTTAAATATATAGGAGTAAATATTTCACTATATATTTTGGGTGAGGGTGTGCAAATGCACCGACCCTCTCACCTCAGGACAAATTGCAAGCAAGATATATAAATTTCATAGCATCTTTTTACTTTTGATATTTTTCACCTTTGAACTAAATAAATAATACTTGGGCTCAAAAATTTATTAAATATATAAGATTTTAATGATTGAGATAGAATATAAAAATCATATTTATATATAAGACAATATTAACATGTTCAATATAATTTTTTAAAAGAAAAATTGATGACTGATCTACTTATAATATTACAATTTTAGTTCTAGTGTGATTATTATTTTTAAAAAATATTAATTTTTAAGTTAAATTATCTCACATTGCTTGACTTTAGGTTTTGGTTCCACCACTAGATGTGCATGCATGCAATTGGACAATATTTCCCTTAATCTAGTGGAACATTTGGATCCTCAATTCTTTATGTAATTTTATCTCTTAATATTTAAAAATGTTGCAATGTACCCCTCCCATTAATTATGAGATAATGTTCGTTATTTTTGTATTGCGGGACTCACATTCCTTTCATATGGAAGGGAGTATATTGTGATTTTTTTTTTAATGTTAAAGGATTATTAAATTGCACAAAAAATTTAGAATTCAAGATGTTCTTAAGCCTGTAGTTGAAGACAAAATCATGCTTTTATCCGCGTGTGTGTGTGACGGGCAAATTTTTTTTTTTGGGGGGGGGGGGGAGATTACAGTTGAAACGTTGGCAGGACATATGTTTATATCGTAATTTAATGTATATTGAAAGGAGCGAAGCTAAAAATTTTATTAGAGAGGGCCAAGATAACAAAGCTAATATGACAATCAAAAAGAAAATTCAATAGATTGATATCACTAATATAATATAAGTATTAAAATGCATATATTTATATTCAATTTGGCATATATATAATAAAATTAACACTACTATAAAAAAAAGAGAAGCTTTTCACGTCATTTTTTCAGAACATTTCATGTTCGTGAGGGATATAGATCTAGACGACATAAAAAATTAACTTATTCATATTACTTTTATAAAAGATATAGTTTTTAGAGAAACCACGTCGTTTTTTGTAAGAAGGAAATGTGAATTTTCTAAAAATGGCGATGTGATTTTTTTTGAAATAAATATTAAAATAATTTAAAATTAAATATTTATCATTTCTATTTCATTATTCTAATTAATTATAGTTTTTACAGACTTGAAATCAAAATAAAATTATACCAAAATTGATAAAACAACCAAAGATAATGAAAAAGACTCAAGCAGGGATTAAAAATATCTACAAAGAAAAAGAATTTATGAGTGAAAGTGACACTAACTAAATATTACTCGCTCGAGGAAAAAAGGAGGAGGAGTCATGGATCTCAAAGTTGTCCATCGAATGGGGGAAAGGGAGGAGACGAGGAAAAGAGAGAGTTGTTTGTCGAATGCTCACATTAAATGCTAGCCTTAGATCTCTATTCAGTCTGTTAGCTGTAGCCCTCGATGCTATAAGTCTCGATGCAATAGAAAGGAAGAGAGAGACTTGTTGTGTGGATGAGAGGAGAGATCTGTAGTAAGGGGAGAAGAAAAACGTGCTGCCGTTGAAGGAAAAAAGAGAGAAGAGTTTGGTTTCAAAATATAGAATCATGAAGCGATAGAGGAGCTCAATCTAATTTAAAAAAGATGATAAAAATTCATGTCGCTTTTTTGAAAAAGCAACGTTAAAAATGTCTAGAAATAATAATTTAAAATAATTTATTTTTTATAATTCACTTCTTTTTTTAAAAAAATGACATAAATAACTTACATATCATTTTTTTAAAAAACGTGACATAAAAAATATTTAAAAATTAATAATTTAAAATAATTTATCTTTTCATGTTGCTTTTAAAAAAAGGTGAATTGTAAAAAATAAATTATTTTAAATTATTAATTTTGGAACATTCACCACGTTACTTTTTTAAATAAAGCAATGTAAAAATATTTAAAAATTAATAATTTAAAATAATTTATTTTTCATGTCATTTTTTAAAAAAGGATGTGAATTGTTAAAAATAAATTATTTTAAATTATTATTTTTAAATATATACCATGTCATTTTTTTAGAAAAAGATCATAGATTATAAAAAATAAATTATTTTAAATTATTAATTTTAAATATTTTTCACATCCCTTTAAAAAATGATGTGAAGAATGTTTAAAAATTAATAATTTTAAATAATCTATTTTTTATGTCATTTTTTTTAAAAAAAGGGATGTGAATTATAAAAAATAAATTATTTTAAATTATTATTTTTGAACATTTATCATGTCTCTTTTTTGAAAAAGCGACGTTAATGATCTTACATATTTAACACATATTTATAAAATTATCACTGTCTCTATTTTTTATATTACTTTTACTAAAACTAATGTAAATTAGGGGGCATAAAATGTATATTTTGTAGTAGTGTAAATATATACCTTTATTTTTTAAGACATAAGAATAATTAATTATAATGACAACAATAAATTCTTAGCAGTTTTCTTCTTAATATAAGCTATTATTAAATTGATAAAGATTTCATCTTTCTCATGATTATTGAATAATTTAAATATATTCTTAAGATCTAAAATTCTCTTCAATTTTAAAAAAATATTACTATTTTCTTAGTGAAGTTTTCATTTAATTCTTTCAATGAATAATTATAGTAAATAAATATATCAATATGGTAATAATACTCAACTGTCACAAATTTTTTATGTTGATAAGTTTTAAGTATTTCATAATAAAAACTATTCATACAATAAATTTTAATAGCTTCTTCTTTACAAAAAAAGTAATTTTTCTCTAAAAGAATATATTTAGATAAGAGATTTTATGATAAATATCAAACACATAGCATTTAATATATTTTGAGATTTTAACAAAGTTTATTAATAATAATTTTTATAATTTCGTTCATAAAATATAAAATAAAAAATTAAATTATGTTAATGCTTTAAGAGTAACTATAATATTATTTTGTTGAAAATAACTACATCATATAACAACTAAACTTTAAAGTTATTGAAATTATTGGACTGTACATACATAAAAGACTACTATAAAATTAAAATAATAATTTCATATACTATCTCAAAACTTTTATAATATGTCAATTTAGAGGTTATAAATATATAATTTTTATATTTTATTAAAAAAATTGAAAGTTGGGTGTTGGTCCCCTGTCTCCACCCTTCTATATATATTGAGTGCCATCTATATCTATAGTCAAATTATGCATGAGATTAAACATGATTAATTCTTAACATATATAAGGTGTAGATCATCATACTTGTAAACAAAAAAATTGAACCATCACTCATGCATGTTCAATTGTTCATGCTGTCTCTCTCATAAGCATTCTGCAAATCATTGGCGGAGTGTCGTAGGTTTAGGCAAGCCTCGACCTCACCGGATACCATGTCTAGCCTGATCTGACCTAACTCAGTTTATCATTACGCCATATCTTTGTTATTTAGTCTTCCCTCCATAGGAAAACAAGCGTTGCCTTAAAAACTAACGAAAACTGCCCAGAAAATTCGCATTTAATTATCAATTTGTCATGCAAAATGATGATTCCAAAAAATTATGCTCATTTATAGTTATAATTTTCACTCTTTCTTCCCATGTTAACTCTAATTTGAATAAAGGTTTTGTAAATAATAAATAACTTAATATATATATATATATATATATAAAGATTGATTTAGCAGATAAAGATTATTTAATCCATGATCTATACAGTCGTGTGATCAAACTTGGCCATTGATATGAGACCCTTGTTAATTAATGAATAATCTGTAAGTATCTTTACAATCTTTAATTATCTATGTTCTATTCTCTTTCTCTCCCTTCTCCCTTCTCTTCCTCCTTTCTTCTTTCCCATTCTACATCATATAAACTATTTGCAATCTCTTAATATGCTTTGGTGTATAGTGAGTCGAGTGAGCGCAGCAGCTTGTGCCAAAAACATGGTATAATTGAAGGCAATTGAACAATCACGCGGGGTAAGCTAGCCCTTTTGGATTGTTTCAATCAAATTCTATTATTCTTTTCATTTACATTATTTATTTATTTATCTATATTTAAATAATATTAGAGAGTAAAAAAAAAAAACTCCAATTGATCCCTGCTATTCATGAATGAATGAATATATGCTAGAACAAGGCAGGTGTAAAAAAATTACAAAAAGTTACGTTGGTTTATGTGTATATGAATATTTTATACTACTTTTATCTTAAATTATAGAATAATTTTAAAAAAATTTCATCTTAAAATATAAGATACTTTAAATTAATTAAAATTTTATTAAATGCATCAATTTTAATATTATCTTTCTTTTCTCTATAATTAATTTCAGTTTCTTATCTTTTTAATATATTAAATGATGGGTATTTTTAAAAATTTATATTTTTATTTTAAAAAAATAAGATTGTTAAGTATATTTAATAAAATTTATTAATATGTGAGATTTTATTTAAAAATATTTTATAATTTAAGATGGAAGGAGTTGAAAATGGAAACAGAATCCAGAGACACATGATTAAGCGCTAAATAAAAACAAAATCGAAGGACTGAAGTTGCAGAGAACGTCTATCAGTTACGAATTAATGCCACAGTGAGGGACATGCACAACAAATTACGAGGCAGACTATATAAATGATTAAGCAATTTTGTCACACCTGGAAGTCCTATCTCCATTATATTGAATTATTTCATGGGGTTTTTATGCCAATGCCATGGACTATGATTGAAATTCTCGAGTCTTGAGTGATTTATCTTTCAAATTTGTACTTATTTGTATCAATATGAGATCCATCCGTGTAATTTGGTGCCTTTACGTGATTAATTATTGGCATCTAGTTCATAATATATAACATTTTCTAAAACTCCTATTAAAATTAAAATAATATGGACATTAAGTAGTTTTTATATATAATATTTTTAACTATACTCTTATTTTATTTATTCTTTTTTAGAAAAAAAATTATTAAAATTTAAATTTTCATTATTTAATGAAAAGTGAAATTGAAAATTTGTATATATTTTTTTAAAAGATCAACGTTTCAAATATTGTTTAGAAAATTATAAAATAGTTACCAATACTCCTTCTGATTTTATTTATAAGGAAGAGAGAAAATATAATTTTAAAACAAGTATATTTATCAGGATAAAATTGAGAATTTCTTAAATTTTTAAATAAAGTTAATAAAATTTAATATTTTTTTTAATACAGATAAAATAAAGAGGAAATTAGTTCAATGATCTCAAAAAATACAGCTCTCATAAATTATAAATGAGATTTTTAAATATTTTAAAATATGACCTATTCATAAAATTAATTAAATATATTTTACTCTTTTATCTTTAGATTAAATTTATTATTAAAACAAAGTATATTTATTGTAACAAATCTTTAACTGACTGTATCTTTCTTTTTTTTCTCTGAATCATTTTTTTTCTCTAAATATAAAATTATCGGTGTCTTTCTTCATCGTAGAACTTTTCTTCTTCTTTCTCTCTGTTTTTTCTCAAGGACATTATAAAGAGGACATTAGACATTGAAAAAAAATTTTCATTTTTGGAAGCAAAAGACTAGGCTAGAATCTATTATCTGTCATTAAATTTTTACTATATTCACATCTCTCGGTAAATTTAAAATTTTTATGGAGTGTGTTTGATTCATTTTGAGCAAATTATTATGTATTTTTTATATTACTAATTTACAATACTATGTCATTGATATACATTTGTATATCAATGATAAACAAGTTTATATCTAATTATTTAATTATGTTGATCTACGATAATATATCGGTGATATATATAACAATTTATCAACGATGTAATATCGTGAATCAATAACACAAAAAATACATAATTATTTACCCAAAACATATCAAATATATTCTACAAAAATTTTTAGACTTTTAATTTATCACAAAAAGTCAAATATCTTAACTAATAAAATAAAAAATCATGAATCTGTAGCTCCATTCCCCACCGATGAGCTCCGTTCCGTTGAGTACCGTCGATGTATCTCACCTCCAATTTGTCTCTTATAATTATAACTATAGTTCGCTCACACTGCTATGCTATCTTGAATTTGTCTCTCTTACATTCAGTTCCGTCTTTTCTTTCGCATTTATCTCTAAAAAAAGATTATTTTAGACTATATATCTTGCATTCACTGCATTCATTTTTAGAGATTTTTTTCATTTTGAATCTTCTAGTATTTGCAAAAAGCAAATATTAAAAGGATAGTTTTATAAATTAATTATAAACTAAATATTAAAAATGCTATTTTTAAAATTTAAGAAAAGATAAACTATTTTTTTATTTGATCTTATGATATGAGTTATTTGTGTAAAAACTTTTAAAATAAAATAAAAGTGATTTATAAATAAAAGCAGACAAGTGCTTTATATGGTTGGGAAAGTATGTTTGTTCTGTTAACCACAATTTACTCTAATCATTTCACCTCATGCCTCGTAGGTAACGTTTAACAAAGTTGGGCCTCTTTGTGTGCGAAAGTAGGAAGTTGGGCCTAGGTTCCGCTTTAAACATAAAATATTCTCATGAACTGGACCCTTATGCCCCATTAGAAGTCTTGATAGGCCATCGATTATTGCCCAAAAACAAAAAGACTAATGTGAGTTGAAACTAAGGAATTCGTTATTTGCCGGAGACTATTCTTGGACCCCTTGTATCTTTGGAATTCAGGTTGTGCTATTGAGACTACAACACCAAATGTTGCTAATGTGCATTGGAAAGCTCCATTAGGTGGATTTCTCAAAATTAATATTGATGGTGCTTTCTTTGAAAAATCTGATCATACTTCAAATAGTATTATCTATATGAATCATGCTGGTATATTTTGATGGGCTTTGTTGATAAAGTTAAATCTCTTTCAACTTTCATGACTCGAGTAGTTGCATTAAAACGTGCTTTTATGTTGGCAATTGAATCTTGGTCATAGCAAGGTTTTGTTTGAGAATGATTATAAACTCTTGGTGGATTGTGTTGGTTTTAATCATCCTAATATATACTATTGGAGATATAGATGGGTTATTCATGATTGCATTCTAGTTTTGGCATCTAAGGTAGGATTCCCTCTTCTTCTTACTCCATGCAGGGGTAATTGTGCAGCTAATTTTCTTGCAACTGAAACATTTAAGGAAGTGAGCTCTTTGGGTTGAGTGTTTGTGCTATCACTTTCTTTGTTCTCTATTCTAATCTTTAATACACTCAACTCTTTAAAGTTCTCTGTTGATACTTTCTATTCAGGAGTTAGTCCAAGTATTAGTTAATTTCCTTTGCATTTTTCTTCAGTTTTTTTTCTATCATTATTATTTTTTATTTTGTTATTGTTTGTTGCTTATCAATTAAACTGACTTTCAATGTTTTAGCTGTACTATAAGTTATAATGTTTCTTTCATTAGCTTTGATCAGACACAACAAGGATTAACCAAACATTTTAGCTCTTGCAGTTGAATTTATAACATGCATAACAGAAAACCAATCAAGCACCAAGCATGATGAGCCTATTCTCGAAACAGCACGATGAGTCTTGATCTATTAGCGACAGAGGTATTATTTCTAAATAGGATTAATTTATTAATTATATAACGAAACTATATATTGCATATTCATCTACAGTACTTGAACCACTTTATTATCTTCTCCATTTCCCTTATTTATCACATATCTTTTCACTAATTCCTCTCCCCAATCCCATGCGTGCAACACTACATACGTCCCAATCCCACCAATCAAACCATAGGCTATAGAATACGTCAATGGCATCATTAGTATTGTCACAAACGCTGGTATCGCTTCTCTCATGTCATCCCACTTAATCTCCACCACACATCTCATCATCATCACCCCCACCAAGATCAACGGTGGCCCGACCGCCCATGCTGGTATTGACGCCAACAACGGTGTAAAGAACAATGCCATGAAAAAATACATTGACACTGTTAACGCTGTTAGACCTGTCCGTCCTCCTTCCCGGATCCCCGTTGACGATTCGATGAACGTCGTTACCGGTGAAGTGCCTAAAAGGGACCCGACAACGATGGACGCAGCGTCGGACATGAAGGCGAAATATTGACCCTCGAAGTCACCGTTCAAATCAATAAATCCTGCAAATCTGGCCATTGAATATAATGTGCCTGTTGTGTCCAAAATGTCCACATACAAAAACGTGAACAATGCCTCCCAAAAGCTTCCCTTATCCATACCCTTGAATTTTAAGACACCTAACGTGCTTTCGATCACGTGCACCTCAACTACCTTCTTAAAGTACCCGTACGCTGAATCTCCAAACTCGGTATTGGGAAATGCCGTTACGGACGTGTTACGGATCCACGATATCACGGTTACGAAAACGACACCGTATATCATCGCCCCCTTAATGTTTTTCACTAAGCAATATGCTATAATTACAAACCCAACCATTCCCAGCCAGAATGTCGGACTCTCCATTCTATGGTTCAAACACAGTATGTCATCTGATATTGAGCCACCTGGCAGGAGAGTAATGGTTCCGTTAGTTGCCGTTACAACCGGAGCTAACGCTGCCCGGGAGGATCTCGGGCAGGCTCCGAGCGTGACTAAGGTTGATGGGCTGTACCCGATGAGCCCAATTCCTTGATTGTTCTGAAGCCCAATGAAGGCGAGAAAAAGACCGATTCCTGCCGGGGAAGAAACTCGGACGGGTCTGGGGACGAGTTTGGCGAGTTTGGCCCGAAAGCCGACGGCGGAGATAAGGAAGAAGATTAAACCTTCCATGAAGATTGCGGTCAAAGCAGTTTCGTAGGATATATCACCTGACCCGTGAAACCCGACAACAGAGTAAGCGAAGTAGGCATTGGCACCCATGCCCGGGGCTAAAGCCAAAGGCAGGTTCGCAGAGATGCCCATGATGGCACAGCCAATGAGAGACGACGCTGCGGTGGCGACGATGAGGTCCTTTCGGGTTTTCTGCAGGCAAGCGGCGTAACCCGGGTTGACCGGAGGGAACTTGCAGGAGGCGTCGGGTTGGATGATATGGTGGGTCGGGGCGGTGCAACGAGAAAGGGGGATGTTGGGGTCGGAGCAGAGAGGCAGGCAATCGTAGACGCTGCAGGTGCCACCAGAGTCAGCGAGGATGCTGGCGTTGACGGCTAGAATGTAAGCCATGGTGAGGAAGGTGGCGGTGCCAGCTCGGAGCTCGGTGGTGAAGCTGGTATTTCGCTCGGTGAGCTTGAACCGCTTGCCGACTCGGCTGGTAGCCACGAAGGAGTTGAGCCGAGCCGGGAGTGATGGCTTCTGTGTTTGGAGTTGAACCTGAGCCGCCATTGATTGGTGCAAGCTCAGCCTGCAATACTGTGTGTTCGAGAGATAAAGCAAGACGAAAGCGAGTCTGGGAATTAACTAGAGTGAGTTAATGAGTTGCATTACAAGGCTATAGCGTGTATATATCAAATGGTAGTGGGGTAGTCTTAAGATGGAGCCCACAGTGATGTGGGCCACTCATTCCATAGAGTAGAAGGAGGTATACGAAATTTTTTGGGAACCGTCTTAGGTGGTCATCACCCTGACGAAAACCGTGCTGCTCATCGGGGTGATGCAATTTGAACCTGAATGGTTCATATTTAAAAAAATAATTTAATATTTTTATTTTATATTTTTAAAAAATAAAAATTGTAAAAATTATAAAAAAGTTTTACTAAATAATTTTTGACCATTTCAATTTATATTTAATTTAAAAATTTTAATTTAATATTAAAAATTTTATATTTTTATATATTGACTATCCAAGTGTATTATGTATAATTTAAATTTAAAATTTTTAACTTATAATTTTTTAAAAAACATTTGTAAAAATTTATAATTAAAAGATTATATATTTTATTTTTTAATATTGTATTCATCAACATAGAAAATAAAAACTTTAAATTTGAACCTTACAAATAAACATTTAATATCGAATATGAACTGTTCAGAGTATATATAGATAGTCAATTTAAAAAGTTATAATATTAAATTAGATTACTTAAATTAAATCAGTACTATTCATATTGATAATAAACCTATTTATAAAAAATTATAAATTTTTATTTTAATAAATATAAATTAAAATTAAAAATTAACAAAATTTAAATCATTTAAATTAAATTTAAATGATTCAAATTTTATTTAATGGATGAACACCAAAGACGGACCCTTTGTGAGGCCTTGAGAGTTGGCAGTCATGGAAAAGTTGAAAGTTGAATGATAAGGAGGGAGAATCTGGTAATGGCGTGATGTGATATCAAATTCTATAAGTATAAAGATACATCCATTCCTTTTTTTTTTCTCCCTAAAATGCCTCTAAAAAATAGATAGTATTGTTAAATGAGAAAAAAATAAATGTTATTTTTATATTAATTACACAGACATTTTAATTTAAAAATTTTTCAATTTCACATATATATATATATATATATATTCCTTCTATTTGAAAATATAAGATATTTTTGATCAAATCTTAACCCTCAATAAATTAGTTATTTATTTTTAAACGAACTCTGTCTTTTCATATTTATCCATATTAAATATCCTAAAATAAATATAAAGTTATTTATTAATAAGAGCATTTTTTTTTAAAAAGGCAATGATTAACACCTCAAAAAATTAAAAATGTTTTATATTTTTAAACACTAAATTTCTCAAATAATGTCTTACATTTTTTAACGGGAGGATATATATAATTATTAAGATTAGTTACTTTTCTTAAATTGTTTAAATTTTATTTATATATGTATTTGAAAATGAAGGGAGGATAATAGACAGGTGGGATCTTTCACCAAGAATTCAAGAACAGCATATTTCAACTTTAAAACCAGTCACTCTTTCCGAAACAAATATTGTTTTATGAAATCGTGGAGCTCAAATTTTACTATTGATATAAAAACTTTAGTGTGGGATTTGTTAATTATTCTTTAACCTTTTTTGTTTAAAGAAAAAAAAAACACTGCCCGTCAATAGTCAATGCCCAACTCAAACAACAAATTAAATTAGGAAATCAGCCCATCATAAAGTGGACTTTATTAGTCTAAATCTCAAATCATAATTACTTATAGATAGATACCTAATGAATTAATCATGCATAATCTTCTATTCTATTCTATCAGCCTAACTTTGATATGGTCAATATATGTCAATATGTTGGTCATCTTTTGGAGCAAAATCAAGTTTTTTGCCACGTACTTGAATCAAGGATAGCAAATCTCCCATGATAAATTGATAGTAAGAACCCCTGTCAATGAAACTTAGAGATGCTTTCCATTCCATTTAATTACCATTATTCTTCTGTCCGGTCTCAAATATAAGAAATTAATATCTATCTCAAATAAATCAATAAAATTATAGGTAAAGTTAGTTAAGTTAATAATAAATTTACATTTTATTCCAAATTTCTCCGTTGTATTATGATATATGAGCAGCATTACAATAAAAGACGTTTAATCATCCAAATCAAAGATCAACTTAATTATATTTATTGAGAGCTAATAGGGTATTTTTATTACTAAAATATGATCATTACAAACTTTATTAATGGATTGTGCGCGCAGAACTCTCTATCTCAGGCTTCGTTAGCAATTCGCTGAGGATAAGACTTTTCTTTATAATAGAAATGTGTTCCACGTCCATCTATGATCGATTGTAAAAAGCATTTCTTTTTTGTACCTTGCCTGAATATAAAAATGTAGATTGTAATTAAAGTTGGCGTCTGAATTAATTAATTAATTAATTAATATGAATATGGATTAATTAATTGTTAGTGCAGTTTCAAACTTTCAATTTGTATATGACCAAATACCGAACCCCTAGCAAATTGGGACCTACAGGTTACAGACTACAGTTAAGTATGGATAATACACACAGGAAGTAGCTCTTTTAGTTAGTGAGTCTCCTTCACACAGTAATCGTAAACTAATGAGAGACAAAAGAGATTAATATTAGGTAAAGGGTACAAATACCTACAAAATTTTTTTTTCAGAAATATTCAATATCCTCAAGTGAAAAAATATGCAAAAATATTCATGAAATTATTTTAGTAGATGGGACAGTGCCTAAACCGTGAAAGATGACTGTTAAAGTGACACCTAAGTAGACAGTTAACCGACTAGAGCTAACGTGAAACACAAAATATGACGAGGAAGATACAAAATAGGAGGAAGAATACACATATAAAATATATGTGCATGTATGTTTGTCTCTTCATCATATCTCTCCTAATCCTTTATCCATAGAAATCTGTATCCTTGCACTAGCTCCATTCACACCTACTTTCTTCATTTAATATTATAAGATATTTTTTTTAAAAAAAGTATTATGTTATAATTATAAGATATTTTGGGTCTTTTAATGTGTAAACAATAAAGATTTTTTTTCTCTTCAAAAATACTGTTAATTAAGGAATGCAACTAATAAAATTTTTTAATTGAGACACTATTAAATAAGGGCACATGAAAAGAGTGTACAATTTTAAAAACAATTAACTATATAACTCATTGGAAGGTACTATAATTTAATTAAAAGTATCTTACAATGTTAATGGAGATAGTATGCATAAATGGATGAAAGGTCTTTTTAATTTTTTTTTCTCACATATTGTATATATAATGAAAGATGCATGCATTTGTTAAGTGCAAATTAAAGGGTTATAATTAGCACTAATGTCGTATTGCATGCATGAACCAGCTTCGACAAATCAAATCATGAAAATCAAAAGTGTAATAATTAAACCCTCTCAGTGCCTTGCTTTCTAAAATCCACCCTCTATAAGTGCGTTGTTTTGATTGTTCCTTGAAATGTGGGTTACAGGGTAAAAGTTTAGGTTTTTTCCTTTATAATGCTTTCTTTCTTATGTTGTCACTTTCGTATGATCAACAAACACTGTCCTGTCAAAGAAAACCAAGAGTCCAAACCAACCATGACATTATTAATGAAATTTGGAACTAATAACATTGACTTACTGTGAATGAAACTACTTTTGTTTGGTTGGCTTTCACTTGCTCGTTTGAGTTTCTTTTTGGGATTTGCCCTCCCAGTGTCTGCAGAATTTCAAAAGTTGAAAATCATTTCAAACACGTAAAGTTATGGACCATTTTCTATAGCTAGTGGCCAGTGATGCTTGATCTTCTCTCCATCGATCACTTGAAAAGTGAGATCAATCTCTCTATTTCTATGGAGTAGTGGAGTAGGCACCAAGCACTTTTCATTTTATTTTGAGAATCGCTCTGTATACATTATCGATCAATTCAGTTTCAGGTAACATCATCGCATTCTAATTTTATATTTAAACGACTCTTTCTCTCAATCAAAAGCACATCATTGGTATCATTTTTTAATTTTGATTTTTATATGATTTTCTAATATTTGGTGCTATCAGGTTATATTATTTGATCACTATTAAGTTTTAATAGATCGAGGACAACTCTTCCAATGAATTTTGATATTTAGAGTATAGAATTATTATACTTGGTATATATTCCTTCAACTTCAAGTCTTAATTATAGGATAAAGTTTTAAAGTCATATTTAGTCCTGTATATAAGCAAAGATGTGATAATTAATTTTTCCCAACCTTATAACTCTTCCGCACTTGCAACAAGTAGCGGGCATACTTTTAATTTCTATACAGTATTACAGTATTATTATTATTATTATTATTATAATAAATTTTAGTAAAGGGAAAAATTGAAAAGTGATGCTTTTTTCTAAAATTTAAGATTAAGGTATCAACTTTCACCCCTTTAAGAACACTAAAATTAGTTACCTTTACTTTATAATTAGGACCATATGGAATATACTTCCTCCAATTCCTATATAAAGTACTTCCTTCATTTAAAAATATAAGATATTTTTAACCAAATTTTATCCCTCAATAAAGTAGTTATCTACTTTCAAACTAACCCTATCTTTTTATATTTATCTTTATTAAACACTCTATAATAAATATAAAGTCATTCATCAATAGGGACACTTTTTAAAAGAAAAACAATGATTATACCTCAAAAAATTAAAAATGCCTTACATTTTTTAACATTTAACTCCTCAAAAAATATCTTATACTTTTCAATAGAGGGAGTATATCTAATTACCTCACAGGAATCGATGAAAGGTAGTTAAGTTATTAATTATATTTGTATGAAAATGGAATAAAGTTCTAATTTTATTCCTATTTAACTGAAAAATTTTAAATTTACAATTCTTTCTCATAATTAATAATTTTAAATAGGGCTCGGCAATATTGAGGAAGTATTACTAATAGTCCTCAAATACTTTACATTAAGAAGCTGAGAATTTTTAGAAGGCCAAGTTCCCTGATATGAACTAGAGGGAGTATGTATATTATACATATCAGCATCAAGTGGGGTAGATAGCGGATAGCTGTATGGAAA